ACACCTCCAAAGGGCTATGAGCAAGTTCTGGCTGTGGTTTATTTTCCAGGTGAACTGAGTTTTTCCTACTGGTCAGAGAGTTATCACTGTAAAGGTAGGGAAACTGCTTGCCTTTGTATTCCTGACTCAACTTACCTCTCCAGTAGCAGGGATAGGCACTGCACTTATTTAAAGAACTCTGTTATTTAAAAACTCTGTAAAGTTTTAACTTCCTCAGAAACTCTACAGCCATTATCACCTATAATCTTCAGAAAAAGTGGAGAGACCTAATGGAATTTGGAAAGTAAAATCAACAAACTTCTAACCCTAAGCCTCAAACTTCCAGGGACTAAAGTATTGCCATTAGCCTTGATGGCAATAAGCTCTAACCCCTCTGGGGACCACCTATAGTTAGCTACTTCTGAGTTAATAACAGACTACCCTACGTGTTTTGTAATTGCACCTCAAATCCTAGATTCTACCCTCTTACAGGCCAATATGACTTCATACTACTAGAGACTCGTGTGATGCCTCCAGATGTCCCCATAACAGGTTCAAGCTGCATTTCCAAAAAAGTCTGCATGATCAAAGGGAAAGCTGCCCTTGAGCCTCAGCGGAAAAGACCTTATTAATAGGCTTCAAACTGAGGATTCTTAGGAATTCTCCAGAAGCTGATGACTGCAGACTTGGATGACTTCTGCTCAAGGTGACAGAACAAGATTAATTTTCTGATTCTTCAGCACCTTTTTTTGTCACTTAGGGGAAAAACGAAATTATCTTGTGTGTTTTCTCAGACTACAGCTACTATGAATTTGATTGCTGGATCTCTCTCTCTCTCTCTCTCTCTCTCTCTCTCTCTCTCTCACTCACTCTCTCTCTCATGCAGACTCACACGCCTATCTCAAACTGACAAAAATGCAATAGCTCTTCTTTTAAATACCTCAGAAGGTAGCTTTCTTTCTATAGGTCCTCTCACATTTCCCTTAAAAAAATAATCCCAAACCTCGATCTTGTAAAAATTGGCTGTTGGCCTCAGAGAATGCTTCTGCTGAAGTCACTGCAACCCTATCAGCAAGACCCAGCCCATCAGGAATGGGAGCTAACAGTTGGGGCAGTTTGTTCTCTTCAAACACACTCTAGCCTGTTTTGCTGCTACTGTTTAACTCCACTCAAGAAATCCACTCTAGAGGACTTCCTTGGTGGTGCAATGGTTAAGAATCCGCCTTCCAATGCAGGGGACACAGGTTCGAGCCCTGGTCCGGGAAGATCTCACATGTCGAGGAGCAACTAAGCCCGTGCGCCACAACTACTGAGCCTGCACTCCAGAGCCTGCGAGCCACAACTACTGAAGCCTGCGTGCCACAACTACTGAAGCCCGTGCACCTAGAGCCCATGCTCCACAACAAGAGAAGCCACCGCAATGAGAAGCCCACACACTGCAACAAAAAGTAGATCCCGCTCGCCGCAAATAGAGAAAGCCTGCACACAGCAACAAAGACCCAACACAGCCAAAAATAAATAAATAAAAATAAATAAATTTATAAAAAAAATAGTTCACACCATCCATGAAAACCTTCAAGTAACACCCATAATTAGGATGGATAATGTGTTGTCCCGGAAATCATGTTGCAAGTGACCTCTGAAACTCTATACACCGTAGATAAGACTATAAATCCCAGCTTTGCCACTTTCAGGCAGTATAACCATGGGCAAGTTGCTTTACCTTTTTGTGCTTTCAGTTTCCTCATATGTATAATGAGCGTAAGGAAAGGAAGGTTCCTCTGTCGCCTCCGAAGTGATCACTGGCATATCCTTCCTCTTGTACAGGCTTGCACGTAATCTGATGACACTGCAGATCCCCTGGAGATGGCCCCGATCGGTCAGTTCCAGAGGTTGGCCCTAAATGGACTCCTTGAGATGGTTGCCAGGTCCCAACATCAGAGCGTAGATCTCTAAAGGTGTATCCCTGGGGAAGGCAGCCCTCCCACCCCCCTGGAGGACCTGGGATGGTAGGGGTGGAGCTATCAGGGCTGTCCTGCCCAGCCAGGTCCTGTTATCCAACTGCCACTAAGAGAACAGGGGAAATGAGAACACTCAGACCAGCAACTCAGACTAAGGTATGCACCCAGCTCTTCTGTCTTACTTTCTCTCTCTCTCCCACTTCTCTTTTTCTTTCTCTGCCCCTCAGCTTCTTTTTTTCTTTGCTATCTCTGTCTCTCCCAATATGTCTCTAACTCCTCACTTTCATTCCCTCTTTTCCCTGTCTTTTTTTTTAATGTGTACTGCTTTTTCTCTTGGTATCTCTTTCTCTGCATCTCCATTTCTCCTTTGATGTCTCTGTAAGCTGGCTATCTGTCTCTCTCCCTATCTTTTCTGTCTGTCTGTCTTTGATTTCCCCTTGTCTCTCTCCCCAGCCTCTCAGGGTCTCTGCCTGAGGAAGTGGACAAAGGGATTTCCCCCACTCCACTGTCAGGGCTGGAACCTCTTGCTCTTCTCTGATTCTGTCCACCTCTCTAACCCTCCTCATCCACCAAATATCTTCCCTTCCCCACCGCGTGCAGACAGGTGGATGGAAAACTCCAGGACTCAGGGAGGGTGAGAGCCACCAGCCACAGAAATCAAAGCAGAGAGATGAGGAAGAAGAGCTGAGAGACAGATCAAGACATAGAGGCAGAGTTGGGGCTCAGGCGAGGAGGGAGACCGGAAGGAAGAACCTGAGGGAGAGCCACTGAAATCCTTATGAGAGAGAAAGAGAGAGAATGCAGTTTGGGCATCTCTCTGCCTCTCTGAGGCCAGTGAGCTGGAGGGCAAGTGGGCAGGCAGCCTGAGGAGGCCTGGCCTGACAACCCTTGTCGGTTCAGCCCCTCAAACCAGCTCAGAACTCTACACCGCCACCTCGCCTTCCCTCCCGCCTTGGCCTCCACTTTGACGCTGAGGGTCTTCCCACCTGCATTTCTGACCCTCAAACAGCTCCTTCTTGCTCCTCTTCCTGTCTCTGCCCTTTCTCCTCGTCTCTGTCTCTTTTCCTTTATTTCTTGTATGTCTCTCTGCCTCTATCTCTTTCTATGTGTCCATTAGTGTCTCTATGTCCCTGTGTATGTCCCTCAATTCCTATTTCTCTCGCCATCTGTTTGTTTCACTCTTGCCTTCTCCGTCTCCTGCCTTTTCTGGGTCTCTGCAATCCCCCCCCCCACCCCCGGTGGAAACCATCCGGGGTCTGACCCCACATTCCCTTCTTCTGGGAAGAGCAGCAGGCCCGCGGTCAGGTCAGGGGGCGGGGCCTGAGGACTCGCCCTGGCCCCAACTCCGGAGACCTGCACGACACCGGACGCCCCAGCCCCACCTAGGAGCCGGGTGACGCCGCGGCACCTAGGCTCCCACGAAGCCCCACCACCACTCGATGCCGCTCTACAACTCTCAGCCGAAGCCCAGTCCTCCGCTACTAAACCCAGTACTGGTCCCGCCCGGCCCAGCCAGCAGCCCCAGGAGCCAGAGCACAAGGCCCTGAACTTCACCATGAACCGTTCCACGGCCCCACGGCTCCAACAGCCTTCCAGACCCGGAGACCTTGAGCGGGCTCCCAAAAGTGGGAGGAGGGCGGGGCGCCCGAGCATTTGAGGTTCCCGAAGCGGCGGAACCTTAAGGAGCAGGAGAGGGCGGGGTCTGAAGACGGGAAGAGGTAGGGTCTAGAGGCTTCTGAGGGCGGGAAACCTGGGCCTGCAGGAGACTTAGAAGGCAGGGCTGAAAGATAGGGAGGGGGTGGACCTGGGGGCGGGGCCTGGAAACAAGGGGTCTGTGAACAGCACAGCAGCCTGAGGTGGGCAAAACCTGAGGGCTCAAGGAAGGAAAAGGCTCAGGAGAGCTAACGGGCCTATGTTTGATAGGAGCAGGGTGGGGTCTGGAAACGCAGCGGGGATGGAGCCTGGAGGTGAGGAAGGGCGCGGCCTAGGTGTACCGAATGGGGGGACCAAAGGAAGTGGCCTGGAAATACAAGGGTTGCAGCCTGGGATACCCAGGGTCGGACTGGCATCCCGGTCCTACCCAGGCAAGTGTGTTGCTGCTGCTGGCGTGGCCATGGAGTCGGCAAGTTCGAGGCCAGGGCCCTGCTGGGGCACTGAGAGAGCTGTGTGCACGGGGCCTGCTACGTGCGCCTGGCACTGAGTCCATCAAGCAGCGTTGCAGTTCTACTACCTCCGAGGACCACTAGGACCTCGTTGGGGCCTTGGGAGGCCTGAGAACTCCGCATTTGCACCCCCAGGGAGCGAGTTTGTATGAGAGGGCATTTCCACCTCTTTGCAATGGCTTGCATAAAAGGGACAGTTGATGTGTCTCCCATGAGGCCATCTGCACCCCAGTGGAGGCGTCTGCCCCACACATGTAGGTGTTTGCATGCAAGAGACAGTGTTTGGAGCCGATGTCCATCCGAGAAAATCTCTCTCCCATAACCCCCACTCCACCCCCAAAACGAAACCTCATCCGGTACCCTTAAATACTGACAACCCTGAGCATCGCAGAGCAGAAATCTCTCTGTAGTGCAGAAGAGAAGATTAAGGGTACCGTCTTCAAGGAAGCTGGGTCTTCCCGACCCCTACTTCCATCCCAGGTCCCTGGTGAGGCCACATGGAGGGGGAATTATCTTCACAAACGGGGTGACTGGTATTCAGAAAGACAGAGTTCACTGTGAGGTCAGATTTCCCAGTCTTTCCAATGGGGACATGGGGGAGAGGGGTCAGAGGTGCCGCATGCTGAACCACCCCTCTACCCCAGCAATCCTGTGTTCACTCATTTCTTTCCCAAGCCTGTTCCTCTTCTGTCTGCTTGTGATTCAACACTTGGCCCCCTTATTCATGTACTATTCACATCTGGATTCATTCCCCCTCCTACACATTCATCCCACAAACCTTTACTAGAGCCCACTCTCTGTGGGACTCCAAATCCTAGGGCTCCCAAGTCCCTGAAGAGGGCCCTACCCCTTGTCCTAGTGAGCAGCTCCAATGGGTGGCTCAAGGAGTACATACATAGGCATTTCAAAACTGGCTTTAAATACTGATCAGGGCGCCATGCAAAGGGACTGGGGTGAGAGCTTGTTACATATGAGTGGGGGCTGGGGTGCCTGAGAGAGAAGGGACCCACCCATCAGGGCAGCTGGGGTGCCCCACCCCCAACCTGGGATAAGGGAACAGAGTAGAGGCCCTCTCTGGAGGGTCCCAGGGCCAACCGGGAGCCAGCCCTCCCTTCGAGGTAGATCATCGCGGAGGGAACCAAGGAGGAGCTCCCACGGTGGCGATGACAGGCGGTCACTTCCTCAGTGGTATTGCTGATAGCTGGGGTAGCCTGGGGCTGGGGTACCCTCCTTAGGGGGCAGCTGGCTGGGGTCCTCCAGGAATGGGGGTGCTGGAGTGGGGAGAATTGGATAAAGATGAGTGGAGGAGGCAAGGCAGAGCATTTCCCACCTCTCCCTGGCCAGCTTCACCAGGAACTCACCATTGCGGAACTGCTGGGCAGTGTAGCGAGTGAGGAGGATGCCAACACCCTCGATGAGGGCCAACAGAATGCCTCCCATCATTGCTGAGCCCACCATGGCCAATGGGCCACCTGGAGGAATGAGGAGGCACAGGGAGACAGGTGAGAGCAGGCAGAACAGGGTGGAAGGGGCTGGGGCCTGGGGATGGGGCACTCACTGCGGGCAGCCAGCACAGCCCCGGTCAATGCTCCACTGGTGATGGAGTTCCAGGGATCTTCCTTGCCCCGCAGCCGCACCAGACCGCAGTCGATGGTGGAGAACAGGCCCCCCCACACTGCGAAGCTACCTGTTGAGGGACCACAGCCTAATTAGTGTTTGTGGGGAATCCCCAGAATATACGGCTCAGGGTCCAGGGACTCCCAAGGCTTGAATGCTCTGGCAAAGAACGGGGGGAAAAACCCAGAGGCAAAGGCAGATGGCAAACTCCTAGGGGAGAGCCCCCATCTGTCTCTGTGGTAGCTCCTTCAATCTGTCTGTAATTGCCATCGGCACTCCTCTCACCTTCACAGGGGGCTGACAAGCATTTTACGGGCAGATTTATCTGCTTCTATATGGCTTTTTTCTTGGCCCCGCCATGCACTCATTCCTCTCAGTTCTCTGACCAGGGATTGAACCCGGGTGACGGCAATGAAAGCCCGGCATCCTAACCACCAGGCCACCAGGGAACTCCCTTCTATATGGCTTTTAACAGAGCAACTTTGATCTTTGTAACTACCACACAGAACTGGAATTCTGACCTTGGTTTCAGGGAGAAGGAAAGGGGTTAGCAAAGCCAGTTAACAATACAATAGTTAAAATGTTTACTCAAGTCTTACTGTGTGCCAGGACCTGATCTACACACTGCATGTTACTTGACTTCTGAAAATTTATATTAGTTAATACTATCAAAGCGCTTAACAGAGCAACCAGCACTTAGTAAGTACTACCTAAGTTACATAAATTACAGAACTTACTGTTTTGTCATCCCCATGTTGCAGATGAGGTTCAGAGAGGTTAAGCCACTAGCCCAAGGTCACACAGCAGGGAAGAGCCAGGGCCTGGATTTAAACTCCAGAACTCACCCATATGAAATTGTTGGGAAATGTCACTCCCCCAGGAAGTCCCAGGCAGAGGTGGGACTAGAATCTGGACCCCCAACTTGCAGTCTAGACTCAAAGGAGCAACCAGCTCAACTCTGTTATCACATCTGTCTCCCCAAACCTCTCACCTCCAATCTGAGGGGCTCGGATCCTCACAGCGTTGACACTGCCTCTCATTCGGTGCCGAATTCCCTGGAGGAAAGTGAGGAGGAAGGGAATCAGAGCCCGGCTGAGGCCACTGGCAGACAAGGTTTCTAGCTTTTAAGAGGGATGGGGGCAGGAAACCTGGAGGGGTATCAGGGGTAGAGATGTGGGGAAGGGGCCAAGAACTAGGGGGCTGGGGAGCACCCCAATATAGGTGCTCTAAGAGCTGGGATGAGAAATCATTCATTCATTCATTACTTAGCACCTATGTGCCAGGCACCATGCTGTGTGCAGGGATACAGCAGTAAACAAGGTAGACCTGGTCCCTACACTCTCAGAGCTCACATTATAGTGGGGGAGACAGGTCCTAAATAAGGGTACAGATAAGATAGCTTCAGACAGCAATAAGAACGCTAGAGGAAATAGGAAAAAGAGCTATGACAGTGGCTGAAGGGTCAGGAAAGACCTCTTTAAGGAGGGGGGCATTTATGCTGAGACCTTGAGGATGAGAGGGAGAAACCTGGACAAAGATCTAGGAAAGAGAGCTCCAGGAGATGAGGGGAGGGACAGGGCTAGACAGAGAAATTGCAGAGACCTTGACAAATGCATGGCATTTAAAGTCATGACATTTCATGAGGTCTCCCAGGAAGGGGAGGGGGGTTGTCAGAGATAGAGAGTGAGAGAGGGAATCGATTACGTTAAATTAAAAGCATTTTCTCAGCTTTAAGGCTGTCCTCCTCCTGCCAATTAAACTCCTGTCACTTCCCTCTATCCAGGCTTCCAACCCAGAATCTGCCTCTAGGTAAAATCTGACTGGCTTTGCACACACACATTTAGGTTTTGGTGATGACCCTTTTGACATCACAGCATTTCCACAGAGGAGCTCCAGTTGGGTGGGGGGGTGAGGGGCAGAGGTCATGTTTGCAGTTCCTCCAAACTTCCAGATCCTGGAGCCAGGCCTGGCATATAGTAGGTGAGCAGGCACCAGAATGAATAAGTGCATGTGACTGGCAGCTCCAAGCAGTTTTCAGAACAGTATCCCATGTGGGCAGGGCAGGACCCCCGCGCCACCCAGGGAAGGCCAGGACTCACGACAGGGGCATTGCGGAAGCCCTTAATGGCCTGGAAGACTCCACCGCCGATAACACCCATAGTGAAGGCGCCACCGCAATCATCCACAATTCGCCATGGGCTGCAAGCGGGAAGGGGGGGATGGGGTTAATGTGAGCCCTCCCTCTTGCCATGTCACACTGACTCTTTCCAACTGGGAGAAACCAAGTCACCCAAATGGGAAGCAGAATTTCAGATAATAGATTATTCTCCCCCTCATTTAAGCAAGAAATAGTGCGAAGGAGGGAAAATATTAGTCTTTGCCCTGTCCGCCCCTCCCCTGCGCAGCCAACCAAGAAATCAACCGCTTTACTACTATCAATGATTAAATGAATTGATAACAAGCAAAGAGTTGGCAAGTTTAAATAAGCGCTACAGAAGTGTTAAGCTAGCACTGTTACTAAAGCAGAACGGGCTCGCACCCCCTTTTCCCACAATGAGCACGTCCAACCAAGCCACGCCCTCTTTTTCTTTTTTTTTTTTTAAACCCGTACAACTGGGAAAAACCAATCGCAGACCGGGGGGATGATCCAGCACCGCTCAATACCGCACCACCCCCTCGGCTGGAATGGATTCGACCAGCGTGTCTTTTCGTTAACAAAGAGAGACTGGGAGGTACGAAGGCAAGGGAAACGTGGAGTGTGGTTCGTCCTTGCACCGCACCTTCTCCTTTAGGCACACAGTTGTGGCCCCTCTTAACGGAGCCCGAGTAGGAGGAAGCAAGGGGAGGGGAGCAGAAGGAGACAACAAACGTCTAAGAGTCTCCCGAGTCTGGGACGTGGCGCTGTGTGGCCGATGCCTCCCCCGCCCGCCTCCCACCGCTGGCCATGGCGCCCCAGCAACAGTCCCGAGGCCTGCGCCCCTCGCCGTACCAAGGCTCCCGAGCGTACTCCTCCATGGCGCCGGCGTCCGGCCGCGCAGTCTGACTAAACCGCGGCCGGGCCACGCCCCCACCGTAAATGCACACAGGCGCTCGAGCTTTCCACCTATTCCAGGGCAATGATTGGGTCGTTTCGCCAGAAGAAGTCAGACCAAGGGGCACTCTCATTGGCCAGCCAAGTTTGTGTCGTCCTTTCGCCGCAGCCTGAGCTTAGCCCAGTTTCCTCCAGGCTCGGAGAGAGAGGTTCTCGTTCTGGGGTTTGGGAGAAGAGAGTCGTGTAGTCCTGGCACTCATAGAAGCGACGAGAGAGAGACGGCCAGTCTGTCAGCTTTCCACTACCCGCGTGACTGTATTGGTAATGTCGGGGTGGGCGCATTTTTTGGAGCTGGAGGTGTTGCACTTTGCTCCCCCATCCCAGCGCTTTGGTTCCTTCCACCCGGTAGTCTTCGGGGGAAGTTGGGTGAGCCCATTTCTGGGGCGAGGGGCAGCCGCGTTTGGCCCCTTTGGCAGTGGGCGGAGCCTGGGCCTGGGAGAGGAACCCGGGCCTGGGGCACCCGGCCCGGGAGAGGAGGGTTGGTGAGAGTTTTGGTGATATTGCCATTTATCCCTTCCACCTTTTAGCGTAGGGTCTGTCGCCCAGCTCCTAGTGTAGGTGGGGGTCCAGATGAGTACTTGCTGGGGGAGGCGCTTGGTTACAAGATGAGATTCAGTCCTCATCTGAGCTGTTTTTTGGTCTATCTGTTCTTCCCTAGGTTTGTCTGCTATCCGCTATGCCGCTGCCCGTTGCGCTGCAGACCCGCTTGGCCAAGAGAGGCATTCTCAAACATCTGGAGCCCGGTGAGAGAGCTAAGAGCAGATAGGCCTACCAATGTGGCAGGCTTGACAGGCCCTTTGTTGTTGATACTGCCACTTGATACCTAGCACGGACCTACTTCGCAGCAAGCAGTGGGGTGGCAGGCATTTCATTGTTAACAATGCGTATTCCTGACACCCATTCCTACCGTATGAGGAGGCGGGTGGGGACGGGGAATAGACATTTCATCCTTAATAATACTGACAGCTGACGTGTATTTTGGGGTCTTCTATATCCCAGGTTTAATCCATCCATCAATCCCTGGAAGTGGTTAAAAATTATCTAATAGTAAGGATAGTAACAGTTGACAGAAGCTGACATCTACCGCAGCCTCCTGTGGGCCAAGCACAGTGGCAGGATGCTAATACTTTGCTCTTTACCATACTAATAGATAACATTATTTTAGACCTACTGTGGAGCCAGGCACTGTGCTGGTGATATATACCTTATTGTTCACCGTATCAATAGCTGACATGTATTTTGGGTCTACTTGAAGTGTCTGTCATAAACATTATGGTGAACAGTATATAAAATAATGATAGGATCTATCATTTCGGCCTACTGTGCTGCTGTTGCTAGTATTTCTACCTTATTGTAAGTAATAGCAAAAGCTGGCATCTAGTTTGGGCTAGGGTGTTCCAGGTACTGGAAAACTCATCTTATTTTCACTTTATTGATAAGTGACATCTATTACAAGCCTGTTGTGTGCCAAGCACAGATCTTTGGTTAATAATACTGATAATGATCATTGATATGACATTTACTTTAAGGCTGTTGGTACCAGGCCCTGTGCCGATTGTATATATCTTACTAACAATACCAATGATTATAGCTGACATCTATTTTGGGCCTGTTGTGTGACAGGCACTTTGCTGTTGCTGACATATACATTTCATTGTTAGCTATAGGTGAAATCTATGATAGACCTACGGAGGTCCAGGTACTCATACACCTTTTTCATTCTGTTGATAGTGACTGACAACAGTTGTAGGCCTCAGAAACTGAATAGATTCAGAGAAGCGTTTGGATAAATCCCTTGCTATCCGAACTTGCTAGTCAATATACCGGAGTCAGAAACCTCATATTCGCCAAGCTTGGGAGCTGAACAGATTTGGACATATTTTTAGATAATCCCCTTGTTGTTGAAACTAATTTTATCCAAATAGATTTGGATAGTATGGTATCACATACTATCTGAACTCAGGAACTGAATAAATATGGATACATGTTTTTTAATGAATCCCTGTCTAAAGTCTGAAACCAGATAAGTTCAGGTAACATTATGTCATATCTGAACCCAGAAACAGAACAGATTTGGGTAAATTTTTTGGTAAATCCTGATATTCAGATACTTGGATTTGGAATGTGAGCAATATTTTTTAGGGCACTTGAGACCTGGCACACACACGTGGTCCATGTGAATGTGAGTGTGTCTCCCCAGGCCCTGACTGCAGGATGGGGATCCCTCTGGTCCTTACTGCTGTCCTCCTTTCCTCCTTGTCCTGCCAGAACCGGAGGAAGAGATCATTGCCGAGGACTATGATGATGATCCTGTGGACTATGAGGCTACCCGGTTGGAGGGCCTGCCACCAAGCTGGTACAAGGTGTTTGACCCTTCCTGGTGAGTCTGGGGATGCAGGGGGGTGGGCTGGGGGCAAATGGGGGCCACAAGGGAAGAGATCTGGAGGTCCCTCCCTGTAGGGTCCTGGCATGGGGCAGGTACAGGCAGAGATTGGGGAGACAAGAGTTGAGGCTACAAGGAGAGGATATCCGTGCTGACATTCCTTCTCTCCCTCCCTCCCTCCACTGCCCTGCAGCGGGCTCCCTTACTACTGGAATGTGGACACAGACCTCGTGTCCTGGCTGTCCCCACATGATCCCAACTCTGTTGTTTCCAAATCTGCCAAGAAGCTCAGGAGCAGTAATGCAGGTGAGTTGGCAGATACAAGGGTGCCTCGAGTGTTCTTGCAGTTCTCCAAGAGGGGTCAGGTAAAAGACCAGGGCGGGTAAGACCAGGCAGACCCAGCCCCAGGCAAAGGAGGCTGTTGAAGGCAGAGGCTGCTGGGTCCTGAGGTGGGAGGAGGAAGGTCACAAGGCTTTCGTGTCCCCAGATGCTGAGGAGAAGTTGGATCGGAGCCATGAGAAATCGGACCGGGGCCACGAGAAATCGGACCGAGGTCACGAGAAGTCGGAACGCGGCCATGAGAAGTCAGAACGGAGCCACGAGAAGTCTGACAGAGACCGGGAGCGTGGTTATGACAAGGTGGACAGAGAGAGAGAGCGGGACAGGGATCGGGACCGGGACCGCGGGTATGACAAGGTGGACCGGGAAGAGGGCAAAGAACGGCGCCACCATCGCCGGGAGGAGCTGGCTCCCTACCCCAAGAGCAAGAAGGGTAAGCTGGGGTGAGGCAACGGGGGCACCAGGGGGGCACAGTGTAAGGAAGCCCTCGCTTGGCTTCACACGAGTGCCTGAGCCTGGGGCCTGGCAGCCTCAGGCTCCATTTCTTCCGGGGATGGGAGAGCTCGGTGATCGGGGACTCCTTGTGCCCCCGTCAAAGACCCCACTCTGCCACCTACTTCCGCAGTGGCAAGCCGGAAGGATGAAGAATTAGACCCCATGGACCCCAGTTCGTACTCAGATGCACCCCGGTAATTGACCACCCCTCAAGAGCCCTTCCTTTTTCCTCTTGACTCACTGCACCGCTGACTGTTCCTTTCTTCCTGTCTCCTTTCCCCCTTTGTCAGTTGTGGGTGGGTGGGAGGTGCCTGCCACAGTACACATATTATACATATGTGTCACTCCCTTGTCACCCCCAGGGGCACGTGGTCAACAGGACTCCCCAAGCGGAATGAGGCCAAGACGGGTGCAGATACGACAGCAGCCGGGCCCCTCTTCCAGCAGCGCCCTTACCCATCCCCGGGGGCTGTGCTCCGGGCCAATGCCGAGGCCTCCCGAACCAAGCAGCAGGACTGAACCTTCCCCAGCCCGGCCCACCCTGGGGTTCTTAATAAAAGCTTTTCGGTGGATCATGCCCACGAGACCTGAGTGCTTCCTTCTCTCACACTTTTGAGACTTCCCAACCCAAGCCAGCAAGATGCAAAACACATTTTATTTACAAAAACTCACCTAAGAAATAGTGTAGGGGTAGCAGGGGCATGGGGGTGGTTGGGTCCTGTCTGGGCCAGAGTTTAGTCATGTCAGCCCTGCGTGGGAGAGGGGGTGTGGGGACAGGGGGTTCGGTGTCTACCCCCCCCCCCCCAGTACTGATCAGAGCGTTTGGTCCTGGCTGGACCAGGGCAAGAAGGGAGAGTGAGGCCAGGCCAGCGTCTTCAATCCCAGCGGCTAGGAACCCTTCACCTTGGTGAGCAACCTGTGGTGGGAACGGGGAGGAAAGAAAAACACAGAAAGCTGGGGTGGGCTGGCAGGTGGACGTCCTGAGCAAGCAAGGATGACTAGGGAGGCTGGTAGTCCCCAGGGTTAGTAACAGAGCCCATGTGGAGAGAGCGGGTACCCTGGGTCAGAAAGCTACACGTGGACTAAATAAATACAGTATCTTTATTTGGCATTGGGTATCCTGACATTTGTTCATTACAGTTCCTTAAAAAAACAAACCAAAAAATCAGAACAAATTAATCAAAAATAAAGATCCAACGGCCCTATGTACATATAGCAAAGATAGCCCAGGCATTGTGCGCGCACGCGCCCGCACACGCACGCGCGCGCGCACACACACACACACACACACACACACACACACCCCATATACACCCTGGGAGACAGTTAAGGGGTCAATAAGCTTTGGGGAGTGCAGGGGGCAGGTTCCACATTTCAGCAATTTAAAGACACCCCTCCCCATGAAGGGTGCCTCGTACAGCCAGTGGGGTATCATGAGTGTGGCTGGCAGCTTTATTTTTTCTCTCAGGGTATCTTAGAAAATAACCCTGCACCCAGCAACTGACAGTGTCTTAGATTCCATGAGATGAGGCCACTTCAAGGACCTCCCTTCTCCATTTCCCCACACCCTGGACCATTCATCTGATTACATCACAAACCCCCAAATCACAAACAAGTGGCCCCTGCTGCACCCTCCCCTTGAATGGGCTGATGCAAAAATCTCAGCTGTCGCCCCTCTTCCTCTCTCTCTGGGTGCTCACAAGAGGCCCATTTTCAAGTCCCTGTGTTAGGGAAGCTGCCCCAAGGCCACAAAAAGAGCTACTAATATGATCCAGTGTGGTTGTCAGGGAGGAGAGAAGGCCTCAAGCTATCAGAATCGGAACCCCACATATAGGCATCGGTCATTACTAAGGAGTTGTAGGATTTTTGTCCAATTTGTCCCTACAAAGGTGGAGGGATTGCTGGGAGGGACTCTCCCAGGCATGAGACACAGGACGCCTCTGGCTGAGGGGGGCAGACAAAAAAAGCCTTGAATAACAACACCCCCAACCCGGTCCCCAAAGAGGTTAGACTGAGACAGAGGAGGCAGCTCTAAAAACCCCTGGCTACAAGGAAGGGTTCACGTGATGCCCTGCCCTAGTCCCACAAGCTTCCAGAATTCTCGAGAACCTGGAAGAAAAGACCCTTCCAACCCCATGGGAGCCAGGCCCTGGTGGCAACTTGGGTCCTGCAGATGCCCAACACCCTCCACCCAGTGTCCCTCCCTGTCTCCCCCCACCGCCACCGCCAGCCCTCACTTCACCAGCACTGACTTTGGCAGAAAGGGCTCCGTGCTGACGTCTCCACGGTGGGAAGACAGCTGCGGTGGCGGTGGCTGCCCCGGAGGCTGCTGGTGAGTGCAAGGCCCAGAGGTGGAGGCAGACGCGGAAGCTATGGCTTTGGCTGCACCTCGGGGCAGGCTGTAGAGGTAGACGGCACCGATGACCAGCCCTGCACCAAGGGCAAACAAAGGGTCCACGTGGAAGCCAAAGAGGCGGATGGAGGCAACAGTGGACAGCACAATGGACAAGGAGGTGGCAAAGCCCTTGAGGATATTGTCGGCATACTTGACGACAACAGCCACCAGTAGCCCGCCGAAGGCCTGGTTGAGCACCACGCCCCAGACAGCAGGCGTGTACCCGAAAAAGAAGCCGCGGTGGGCTACAGCGGTGCCCTCGGCCCACCAGAGCCCCACCAGGCCCAGGGCTGTGCCGAAGAGGCCCAGCTGCAGGTTGCGCAGCCACACGGAGCCTGAGCTGCCTTTGAGGATCTTCTCAAAGTAGACACCTGCAAATCCCGAGGACAGACAGGACGCCACGACAGCTGCTAGGCCCGCCCCAGGGTTCTGATCCAGAGGCCGCGGGCTCCCACCGCCGGCTTGCTGTGCCTGGACAATGGCGACTCCGGTGAAGAGGAGCAGCAGGGAGGCCCACTGCAGCCGGGAAAGGCTGCGGTTCAGCATAAGCACGGAGAACAGTGCTGTGGTCAGGATCTTCAGCTGGTACGTGACCTGCGAGTGGCATGTGGAAGACACTGAGGGCTGCTCCCGACCCCCAACATGTACATGTGGGGGACGGCACCCACTGTGGGCCCCCAGGCACAATGGAGGGACAGGGTGGGGTAGATAACCATAAAAACAGCAAAAATATCCAGCCACTGGCCACTGACTGAGATGCGGCTAAATAGCTCTGAGGCGCCTCCCAGAAAGTACACAGGAGGATGGCTGTGCAAGGATGTCCTGGGCCACACCCAAGTCCACATCCCAACCCCATGTCCTAGCAGTGTGACGAGGGACAAAGCACTCGCCCTGTCTGAGCCCTGACATACCATCTGTAAATACAACTGATGTATGTGAAGCACCTCACACAGCAGGTAATGAATGAACGGTAAACATCCTGATGAGGGAGGTCTTGATAAGGATGTGTTGATACAAATGAATCAGCCATGAAATGACGTCAGTAAACATTTACATAGAGCTTACTATGTGCCAGGTGTGGGTCTAAGCACTTCACATGAATTCGTTTAATCCTCACATATGAAGTGTGTTATTGTAATGTCCAATTTAAAGATGAGATGGAGAGGTTACGTGACTTGCCCAATATCACACGGCCCCAGAATCCAGGCTCTTTAACCATCTTAAAGGTTGCTTGTAAATAGCCTAAAGCTTATCCATCACCAACCAAGGGCTCTTCCCAGATATTACTTCTTTTAATCATCTCAGTGAGTAGCTACTATTACCATTTCCATTCCCAGTTCTCACAGATGAGGAAACCGAGGTTGAGGAAGATCCAAGGACATTCTGGAGGAAACACAGCCCCCGCTCTCTGCAGCCCTCCCTCCCCAACATCCTATATCCCCCACCCCAGCCAGTTCCTGGGCTTGGGGCTCACCTGGAAAGTGGCAGCTGGCAGGTTGGAGATGGCAACATACTGGAGGTTATTCTGCAAGGTGTAGATGAGAGAGGGCACTGCGAGCTTGAGTGTGTCCACATACTGCACCAGGACAGCCTCATGGAGGAAAAGAACCAGGTGCTTCACGTTACCTAGGTGGAGGGAGGAGAGCCCTGTTTAGCGCTGACTTCCAAAGATGGGGATCATCTAAAGGACAGGACTGGGCCTGGTCCTGTGTCTCCCCACCACACTCCGACTCCCTGAGGGCTAGAATGAGGTCTGCACTCTCGGTTTCTCTACAGTACAAACATGTCTCCAGCAAGCCTTTCGGATACTCAGTCTGAGAATCACAGACCATATTTCACTCATCTTAGAGCCCACCTCCCTGGCACAAAGTCCCAGGGCAAGCACTCAGTACAGTTTGTGCAATGAAATAGTCAGCACTAACTAGGAGCTTGTGAAGTAGAAGCTCTAGGAGTGTGGGTGGAAAGCTGTTTACCAAGCAGAGGGAAAGTTTTAGACTCAGCTTTTATTTTTTTTAAAGATTTTTTTGATCTGGACCATTTTTAAAGTCTTCATTGAATTTGTACAATATTGCTTCTGTTTTACATTTTGGTTTTTTGGCCGCGAGCCATGTGTGATCTTAGCTCCCTGACCAGGGATCGAATGAACCCACACCCCCTGCATTGGAAGGCGAAGCCTTAACTACTGGACTGCCAGGGAAGCCCCTTAGACTCAACTTTTAGACTTTTCCTAGTTCCTTCCTAGCCTGAGAGCTGCCTGAGGGCAGGGGCCATCTTCCACTTGGCCGCCTCCTTCTGTCAGCCCCCCACACACCAAGCATTTGCCCCTGTCACATGGAAGAATGCAGGCTTGACTCTAAAGCAGAAAGTCTGGTTGGGACCTGCTCCAATCAATAAATGAGAATACTTTCCTATATAATAAGACCTTTGCAAATCTCACCCCACTTTTTTGCAGTTCATCTTTTAAGACTCATCTGAGTGTCCCTCCTCAGGGAAAACCCCACAACCACTGCACAAGGTTACTGCAGGAGCTCCTGCTGATGCTCATTCACAAAACCCTGCCCTTTCCCTTCATGGCATTAATCCCAGGAGTAACTATCAACCTCTAACCCTTTACCCAAATTCCCTGGGCCCAGGGGTTTGGGTGTTCAAGAATGTCCAGGTGTTAGAAAGGTAACACGGCATATATGCTACATATTTCACATAACACACACAACGTATATGGGGCTGCACACCGTAATCAAGCACATTCATATTTCTGCAGTGACCCGTGGACACATTCACACCAAATGAGAAAACTAAAAAAATAAAACGGGGGGGGGGGTTGCTGAAATTGTAGATAGAGATGAAAGCTGTGATTAACCTGTAGCTATTTGTTTCTCCCCATCTAAAATATCAGCCCCCTGAGGGCAAGATGCACGTCTGCATCGCTAACATGTCCACCTCCACGGCCAGAACATGGCCTGCCACACAGTGTTCACTCGAACTGTCTCAGAATCAATCTAGAACAGAGCAGATGAGTTCCTAAACTGCTGCCTCCCAGGGCCCTGGAGCTAATGAGTGGGTGAGAATGCTTTCTTCAGTGTAAATACCTAGGGCAGAGCCGCATGCGAGGCCTTTATAGAGAAATGACTGGGCAACATTTTAAAGAAGGCCTTTGGGGAGGTGTTTAAATTAGTAAATAAATTCAACTTATAGGAAATATAGAGGACAGAAGAACATGTTAAATGAGACCAGTGGGAGGCACTCAGCAAAATCCAGGCTACCCGAAGACTACAAGACAAACAACCTTATGTCTTCGAGAAATTAACTGCAGAGAGAAAAAAAAAACAGTTGGAGGGAAAACTAGAGGCTAGCCGACCTAGAAGACACCAACCAATTACAAAGCACTGACTTTATATAAACCTGATTCAAACTTTTTAAATTTTTTTGACATTTGAGAATTTTTAAAACTTTTATGACATTTAAGAAATCATTACGAATTTGAACACTGACTGGATATTTGATTATTTGATTAACTTAAAAAATTACTGTTAATTTTTTGATGTATGACTTCTAACAGTCATGACTGATTGAAGTCATTATTTTAAATGTACCGAAATATTTACTCAAGATAATAAGAGGGAATTTACTTCAAAATAATACTTCATGTGGGACATACTTCAATATAACAAGGTGGGGCTTCCCTGGTTGCGCAGTGGTTGAGAGTCCGCCTGCCGATGCAGGGGACACGGGTTCATGCCCCAGTCCGGGAAGATCCCACATGCCGTGGAGCGGCTGGGCCTGTGAGCCATGGCCGCTGAGCCTGCACGTCCGGAGCCCGTGCTCCGCAACGGGAGAGGCCACAACAGTGAGAGGCCTGCGTACCGCAAAAAAAAAAAAAAAATTTAAAAAAAATATATCAAGGTGCAGGAGTAGGTAAACAGACACATAGATTGGTAGTGAGTGGATAATCACTGATGCTGTTTAATGGCAGAGTGGCCATGAGTTGATCATTGTTGAATCTCGGTGATGGGACATGGATATTTTACCATTTTATTATTTTCTCTGATTTTGTGTTTGAAATTCTCCATAATGAAAAGTTAGAGAGAAATCAATAAATCATCATGTAAGGGTCACCTGCTACCTTATGGGCACAGACTGTCTCATTCCTTCAGTGTTTACTGGCCAGCTCCTGGGGAGTTAGGGGTATAAACATGTGGATGCAGCTACTCATAGCTGGAGGTACAAGGCAGCCAAGCCACACTTACACAGTCCCCAGGCATTTTCATAGACACAGAGATAATCCCCCAACCAAACCCTCCACGTGGGAGCGGGTACACACACACACACACACACACACACACACACACACACACTGCCACCCACCGACTCCAATGCAGCCCCCCTCCCTGCAGCCCCTCTCCCTGGCTCATACCCCTCTTCTGTGCGAAGAGCAGCAGCAGGCAAGTGAGACCTTTGAGCACTTCAGCCATGACCACAGCAGTGGTGGCAAAGAAGCGGTCCCCAGGCAATGTGCGGGCATAGCGGATGCTGAGGATGAGGGAGGCATTCTGGACCACCAGCACAGCTAGGGATATGTATTTGAGGCGCCGGTGAGCTGTGGGGAATGGAAGGAGTAAGGGGGAAGAAGGGGTCAAAAGCTGCTGTGGCATAACCACACTACCACCCTCCCCTCTCCTTTCTCGACCAGGATCCTCCTAGCCACCGCTACTTCCTCCTTCTGCCTGCCTATCCTGACCCAACGTGAGTCTCATCCCTGCCAGCTTCCACTGCCTCAGCCACAGGCAGGAAGAGCCAGAAAGGGAGAAGTGGGCCTCTCCCTGTCCAGCCCATACCTGGAATCCTTGCTGAGGTGTCAGGAAATGGGTGGGGCAGGTCCTGGACACCCACCTCAGCCCTCTCTCTCCCTCCCCTGAGTGAGAAGCAACCCTGCCCTGGGCAGAATACCAACTGCATCCTCAACATTTATTGAGTGCTTACTGCGTGCCTATCATTGGGATAAGGGATTTATATGGATCACCTCAACAGACCCCTACATGGCTCTGATCTCTGAATGAACTATCAGTGTTCCCATTTTATGGATGAACAACCAAAGATTTATATAAAATGATGGTTCTATTTAGTGAATGATTGTCTCATGTGAAAAATGATACCCTAATACAAGTAATGAGACCACTGTATATAAGGCATGTCCATCCCTTAAGGAACGTTCTCTCATCTAAATTATTCCATTCCCTTACACTCAGAATGGTCTCTCCAACCCCTCCCGCCTATGATGACTGATTCCTCCCTGCCCCAGAATGGTCTAACAAATATAAGAAATGATTCCCTCACTGTCCAAAGGATTGAACCCCATGTAGTAAATGGTTACTCCACTAAGAATGGTCTGGGTCCCTTAACGATATAAGGAAATATTTCCCTATACACCAATCATCCTCCCACCACCGCATACCCCCACCCAAGGAATTATCCCTTGTCCTGCTCACACTCACAATGAACTCTCCCCGTTATAAGCAATGGCCTGGCACCCTCAGAACGTCCTTTCTCCGCCATATAAGGAAGGCCCCTCCCACTGCAACATACAATGAACTATCTCCATCGGGAAGGGACCCCCCAGAACGGTCTTCTCCCCATATAATGGACATCCCTATCCTCAAAACATTCTAAGTCATATAAGGAAGAACCTGCCCCACCGTAACTCACAATACCCCTGTCCCTTTACAAGGAAGAAACCACCTCTCTCAGAACAGCTCCTCCCTTCTGTAAGGAAGAACTCTCTCGCTCTCAGAATGGTTTCTCCCTTGTATAAGGACGGACCCCCACACACACTCAGAATGGTCTTAGTGGTCTTAGCCTCCCCAAAAGGAAACACCCGCCTCCAACTCAGAATGGTCTCTACTCCCCATCTGCAGAAGGAACCTCCCCATCACCCTCAGAATGGTCTCTTCCGCGCCCCCCAAACACACGTCCTCCTCCCACCCCCCACTCCCCACACATAGGTTGGTCCGTACGGGATGCTCCCTCTCGCCTCAGTGAGGAACCTTTCTGACCCCCCAGCGATCCCACCCCCCGGCCCGCCGCCGACTGCTCAGCCACAGCCTGTCTCACCCGCAGTCGTGGTCCCAGGCTCCAACGTCCCTGCAGAGACCGCCCCTGGCCCGGCCGCCGCGGGGGAACCGCCAGACCCCACCGCTGCCATGTTGGCATCTGCCTGGCCCGTCCCCCCGGCAACAGTAAGCCACTTCCGTGTCCGTTACTTCCGCTTCCGGGACCCCGGGGTGGGGATGGGGCGAGCGAGAAGCTTCCCAGAGCGGTGGCTCTCCTCGTTCGCTCCTGAACGCTAGTTTAAGAGCGGCCTCAGGATTTCCAAATTCCGTTGAGATCCGGAGACAGGGCACGCAGCCGGCTCAGTCTCCCACTGTCTTTACAGAGCCTCTTTAGCCCACTCCCGTTACTAAACCCGCCCTCATCTTCTTTGACCCCGCTTTCCATATCGCCCGCCCACTCTGTCTCCTCGTCTCTTTGGTTCCGGTGTCCGTCTCCTGTCTCGGCTCTTTATTGCCACCTTCTGATGGCACCGCCCTTTCTGCATCAAAACTCCTGGGTCCTTCCGGGTTGGACTGAAGTTCTTTTCCCTTCTGCCGGCGAGGCCAACCCCCGCCCCCTGGAGAGACAGCGGGCATCTGGGAGGGAAGTGCGACTTTGAGGGAACAGGGCAGGTGAGGGTCAGGCGGGTAAGCGAGCAGATAAAGGCAGGGCAGTTAAGGATATACTAGTGAAATGGCACAGGAGAGTTCAGACTGAGAAGGGAGGACAAGTGAGTCACCATTAAGAATGGAAAAGTGAGAAGGGGGTAGGTAAGCCAGCAGGTGAGAGGTTTACAGGTTAGTTGTTTTTTGTTGTTTTTTGCCACGCTGCCTGGCTTGCATGATCTTAGTTCCTCGACCAGGGATTGAACCCGGGCCACCGCAGTTAGGACTAGCACCTAGTCCTAACTACTGGACCGCCAGGAAATTCCCTAGGTTAGCTGTTGAAAGCAGGGCAAGAGAAGGTACAGCTGAGGTCGGGACAAGTGCAACTATGATAAAATAGGGCAGGGCAGGTAAGTCAAGAGTTGAGGAAGTTGAAGTGAGCGGGATGAACAGGTAAGAAGACAAGGAAGAGGTGAAAAAGGTAGAGGCAAAACAGGTGACTCCACCTTGGACGTTATTAGAAAACAAGGAAGGGCTAGGAAGATTCCTGTCAGCGCTCAACCCCCACCCTGCCCTCACCAAGCCCCAGAAAGGGCTTTTCTTCTCCCATGGGGAAGGTATTTCCCCCCCTGGGGTTGGGGGAAAGGAGTTTTTCTGCCTCTGAGCTGACCATCTTTGATTTGGGAGTGTGTCCCAGACATCTTCAATGTCTGTGGTATCTCCAAAGCAGCCCTTCTGCACATACGGGGTGCTACATAAGAGCTGAGGGGAAAATCAAGTTTTTCTTTCACCTTAAATGAACCCATAAAAGATCTTCAGGATGGCACCACAAGACTGAGGCTTCCCGTGGGCAGAGAGGTCCAATCCATTCTCCCTCTTGGCTCAGCATTCAGTAGATGCTCCACGAATGCCTCACCACATCTACAAATGGCCAGTCGCTTCTGATTCTATTACATTTATTAAATAGTGGGTTTCCACACATGGCTTTTTAAATAATCCAGGCGGGGGAGAAGGAAGAGGAAGATACAGTTGGAGCTCTCCTTCCCCAATACATAAGTATTTACATTTCAGCAACTGGACAACCCTGGCTCAGAAGGAGGCAGCAAGAATCAAAAAAAGGTGGAGGGTGGGGCCCTAGGAGAACAAACAACAAGACATTTCCCTCACCCCATCCCCCCAAAAACCATCCACCCCATCCTAGTGGACTCTAGTAGTGTCCATCTCCCATCCCCTCCCAAACCATGAAAGTGGGGTTTCTCCTCACCAGAATAAGAGCACTTGGGATAACAGAGTAGGGTCCCCTCACACACACACACACACACACACACACACACACAAAAGCCCTGGGACAACAATAGGGCTTACCTCCCCCAGAATAAACAACCTGGGCTGAGGTAGGCAAGCAGCTTGACTGAATATGGGACCCTAGGCTAGGGGAAAGTGTCCCTTTGCTAAAATAAGAGCCGCTGGGGTATTGGAAGGAAAGCACCCTTGCCCAAGTCAGAGCATTTAAACTAAGTTTGTGTGGTGGTAGCAGGAGGTGCCAGTGTAGGGGTTACTGCTCATCAGAATAAGAGCCCTGCAGGCTCAGAATGTAATTTCAACCAAATAAACACCCTTAGCAAAACAAGAAGCAAAGAAGGACCCCCTCCAGAATAACAGAGCATACGTTCTGGGAGGAAGGCTCCTTAGCAGGATTGGGATAGGGACTAGGTAAACTTGGCTTATGTCTTCTGACACCTGATCCCCAATCTCTGACCCTAGTAACACTGGATTTTTAATGACCTGTAAAACCAGATCAACAGATGTCCATCTATCCCTGTGGCGTGGCCATGGGATGGCTATTCCAACTAATGGGGGCCCTGGCCAGGACTAGGGCAGTAGGGACCAGGCCAAAGGGGTGGAACTCCCTTTGGGAGTGTTGAGGGATGCATCCTCAGCTGGTGTCTGCATCCAGGGGTCCAGCAGGATCTCCTCCAGTGTGGGTCGGGCAGAGGGTTTGGGGGCCAGGCACCGGCGGATTAGGGCACAACAGTCTGCAGATCAGAAGCACACAGGAGATTAGCAGTGAGTTGGGGGCACCAATCCCTGGGAGGGATGAAGTCTGGTGGGCTAGGGCGGGTGGGGCCTCACCTGGGGAGACGTGGGCAGGGAAGTGGAGCTCAGCCTCCAGAATCTCCTGGTCTCTCTCAAAGGGAATGTCCCCACATACCATGTCATAGAGGAGGATACCCAGTGACCAGACAGTGGCTGGGAGTGCGTGGTACTGATGACAAGAGATCCACTCCGGGGGGCTGTACACCCTTGTCCCTGCACATAAGCCACAGGTTAGACCATTCTCTGATAATGCCCTTCTCCCATCCCACCCTCCCCAGGAAGTATGGTTGCTTCACTAGAATTAAGAGAACTCACTGTATGAGCAGGGTCCCCTCACCAGAATAGAAGCTCAATGGAATAAAAGCACTTAAAAGGTACAGTAGGACCTCCTTACCAGAAAAAGAAGACTCAGGATAATAGCAGGATCCCATCATCAGAATAAGAGCCCAGAACAAGATCAGGGCACTGTCAGAAGATGGACTTATTAGAGAGCAAGGCTTGAAAGCCCCTAAAATTAAAACTCAAGAACCTTATAAAGGTGTACTATAGATCAAGGGTTACAGGATACCCCAGCACTGGAGGTCAAATGTCAAGAGGCCAAAAAGATAAAAGGTGAAAACTCCCCCCACAGAGATTTAGGGAAGCCTTACCATCAAAGTCAGTGTAGGGTTCATCATGAAGCAGGGCGCCAGAACCAAAATCAATGAGTTTGGCACAGCCCCGGCGGAGGTCCATCAGGATGTTCTCATCCTTGATGTCACGATGGACAACTCCACGGGCATGGCAGTGCCGAACAGCTGCCACTACCTGGGCAAAGAGACAGCGGCTTCGGCCTTCACCCAACGGGCCCTGCTCTGTGATGTAGTCAAAGAGATCCTGGGCAGGCAGAGGCCGCTCAAGGACCAGCATGAAGCCCTCTGGTGTCTCGAACCAGTCAAGCAGGCGGATCACACCAGGGTGTCCACCACCTGCACCCACCTTCCATAGCAGTGCCACTTCCAGTGGGCATGTGACTGAGTCTGACTGGGGGGGGGGAAGCAGGGAGAGAAAAGAGAATACAGACATCAGGCTAGCAGCTTTGAGGCTGACTTCTCGCCTGAACTTAAATCATAGCTCCTCAGCCTCCTGACTGTGTGGCCTTGAGCAACCTGCTTCCTTCCCTGGGCCCCAGTTCTCTCATCTTAAGGGCTTAAACTCACATAGCCATTGGGAAGGTGATTCAAGCTTAAGGCTATGGGGTGGGGAGGGATAAATTGGGAGATTGGGATTGACATGTTAGCACTACTATATGTAAAATAGATAACTAATACGGACCTACTGTATAGCACAGGGAACTCTACTCAATACTCTGTAATGACCTATATTGGGAAAGGATCTAAAAAAAGTAAAAGTGGATATATGTATATTTATAACTGATTCACTTTGCTGTACAGCAGAAACTAACACAATATTGTGAATCAACTATATTCCAATAAAATTTAATTTTAAAAAAGCCAAAGCCTTTGCACATCTGGCATGTAATAGGAGCTCACTTCATTTTTTTTTGTTTTTGGCTGTGCCACTTGCAGGATCCTAGTTCCCCAACCAGGGACTGAACCTGGGCCACAGCAGTGAAAGTGCCGAATCTCAACCACTGGACCACCAGGGAATTCCCTCAGGAAATGTTTGAGGAATAAATGAAGGTGGTTCTTAACAAAAGGCCTTCAGCAGAAGCAAGTGATAAACACTATTATGTAGTAATTTATCTGTTTTGTCCACTGACATCTGTAAAGAGACTAGAATAGTACCTTACACACAGTGTTGCTTGATAAATGTTAAAAATGTTTTAAATAGATAAAAGCACTTTATAGCATAGAATCTGACACAGTTAGCACTCAATAAATACTATTATTGTGTGATGGTTTGTCTGCTTTGTTCATTGCCATAGCTCAAACACTAGAACAATGCTTGGTAACAGGGCAGAGCTCAATACATAGTTGTTAAATAGGTGAAAGCAATTAGTAGAAAAGGACTAGCACAAAAAGAGCTCTCAATAAATGTAATATTTTGCCAAGTGTCTAGAATTGTACCTGGCACGTTCTAGGTGCTAATATACAGTTGCTAAATAGCTAAAAGTGATTAACTGCAAAGGAACTGGCACAAAGTAAGAACTCAATAGTGTCATTATGTGATATTTTGTCACTGTCACCAAGCATCTAGAACCGTGTTGAATGAAAGTACTTAGTGGAAATTGGAACACAGTAAGCTTTTATGATGAAGCAAAGTCTGAGGCATACAGTCGGTGCTCAATAAAAGGCATACATGTTACTGGTCACAAAACCCGCCCCACTCTCGAAGCCCTGCGCGGGCACACGGACTGCCAGAAGCAGCCTTCCTGCCTGAGCTGGGGCCCTCTGCCGGCCAGTGCACTGACTTGCACAGCCGCAGACAGGTTTTCTCACGGTGATGAAAATTCCGCTACTGCGCAGGGGCACCTTCTCCCTCTGGGTCCCACAGCCTGCTCAGGCGCAGTTTCCCCAGAGCCCGCCAGGGGGCGCTCCCGCCCCTGCAACTTGCCCAGACCCGCCCTGTTGTCCATTAGCGCTCTAAAGGCAGAAGAGAAGCAGCCACCGTCACCATGGCAACCAATGACCTCTGCCCCTCTTTCCTCACCAGCATGCCCTGCGGGCAGCCCCTGAGGCAATGTTTGGAGGCTGAGAAAGGAGGGTGGGAGGGGAGAATCCAGGGCTCTAGGGGAACTGGGGTGAGTCAGAACTGTATGGAGGTGTGGATATCACCACAGGGGAGTAAACATGGGCTGGTAGGAGTGTTCTTCTCACCGTTACAGGGCCCAAGGAGTTATACAAACCATAGAAAGGCGAAATCCATCGTCAGAGATGGCGTCGCCAGGTCAAAAAGGACTGCAAAGATACTCACCCAGGGGGACCAGCCCAGCACGCGATTCCGGGGGATCACTTTGATGGCCACCTGAAGAAGCGGGCTGAGGTGAGGGAGCCAGCACATGACCCTCAGACCTCTCCCGGTCTGGACCCTCACCCTAGTCTTTCTGGTCCCAACCAACCACTCCACACCACAACCCCAAATGAGCTGGTGCTTCTCCCCTGCCCTCCAAGTCTCCAAAACCAAGTACACCTCTCCCACCATCTTTGGCCCTGGGCTCTTCCTTTTCAAGGCTTCAGGACCCCTCACTCCACGTGACGAGTTCTGAATTTCCTAACACCCCAAGCCCTCGATCTTCCCATCCAGCCCCAGGACACCCCAACCCTGTAGGGGGGGTTCTGGTCCTCACGGCTCCACCCTGGACACCTGCCTCCAAAATCCCAAAAATCTCAACTCTAGGTCCCCACCTTCCCACATATATACACCTCTCCTGGATCGCAAGGTCTAGAGTCCTCACGACCCGCCACTCTCCAGTCTCACTCCCTGGACTTCCAGAATCCTTGCCCTGAAACACCCCCTTCCCACACATACCCACCTGGACCGCCACACACACACACACACACACGCGCGCGCGCGCGCGCACTCAAGACACCCTCAGCAACCCGGATCCCGGCCCTCATGACCCTACCGCTCGCACACTGTAGGCTCATTCCCTGCTCAATTAGCATCCCAGCCCCGGGGCTCCCGCCGCTGCCACACACACCTGGCCCTCCCAAGACCCTCGTGGTGGATACCTGGAGTCGGTCTGTGACGCGATGTCCTGCGAAGACG